AACATTTATAGCATATTCGGATTCAAATTTGTCTCTTGACGCTAATCTTAATATTGTTTCATACAATTCCTCATTTCTTCGATACCCCATTAATGAAAGTTTGGTCCATCGTTTCCACATGTTTTTGTAGTCACCTACCGAAGCCAATTGTTGAAATAATGTAATTGTGGAGGCTTGAGTATGTTTTACTTTGAAATTTTTCATTAACTGTTCTATTTCAAAGATCTTCGGTGTTAGAGAGCTACGAAGTAAGGAAATGTTTTCATTATATGATTCTTTCTTCTCTTCTTGTTGCCCAGTTAAATTTGGTTTCTTATCAATATTTTCTCTACCATCAAACTGAAGTAAACAGGATTTTAGTAATGGTTGAAAGACTTGAATATTATCAACATCATATCCTGCAAGTTTAATCATATCAAAGATTTCTAAAGCTTTTTCGACTCTCAGACCAACAGACTTTTCATCAACAGCCTGAAATTCTGGTGATTGTGCATATCCTTCTAAAATAATTCGATATGTTTCAAAAGTTGGTTCCATTCCTTCACCTCTCATATTTTTTAACATTTCCAAACTTTTATTTAATGGAAACTCCTTAGGACTAATTTGATTCGCAAAAATATTGAATCTAATTATTAAATCATAATGGTCACGATGAAATTTTGGAAAGTTAGAGTCTAAAGTAGAGGATTGTTTACAAAGACTGTTAACCAATTCTTTCCATGAAGAATAAAATGAACTATTTGTAAAATCATCACTTGAAAAAAAATCTATTTGTTCTATGGTCTTTTGGATTCTCGAATCCATTGTATCCTCTAAAAGACTATCAGTTTGATCCTCTGACTTTTTTTGACTCGAAATATATTTAGAGAGTGCTTGAACATAAGCTTGCATTAAGACTGTTGAAAAGTCAAATTCCCATAAATCTCTCAAATTTTGTCGTGTTGCCATTTGAGATTGTGGATCTTTAATCAAAAGTGCATACCTATTTATTAAATTTGAAACAGTTTTAAATCTTCCTAAATCAGCATAATAAGAAAGCATTGCGTAAAAAGATTCACGTGATGGTATGTAATTAAATCTTGAAATCAATCGATCTAAATAAGTTTTTGCCAGTTGTATGTTTGATTTTCGCGATAAAGCCCAAATTATCTCAGAATACAATGCCGGAGTCAATAACTGTTCATCTTGAAGTCTTTGTAACATTTTTTGAAATGTATCATTTTCTTTAGGATATGATCCTAAAGCCTAAATCCGAAAAAAACAAAAATTATATCATATTAATAATATAATAATTAGTTGATACATAAAACTTACTCGTATGATCAATCTCCAAGTTTCTTCATCAAATGGACCTCTGAATGATTCAATGAACGTTTCACATAATTCTTTTACATCTTCAAAATAATCCATTTTTTGCGTTGTATAAATTTTATGTGGTACGGTCATAATTCTTAATATTAATTTCCATAATTCCAAATCTACATCCACATTAATTGGTCGTAAATCAGTTAAACTTGGAGTTTTAGAACCCAAATTAGCCAAAGGAACCTGGCCATTTGTAATTGACCTTAAAACGCTTATAGTTAATAAGTGATCTGAAGATGCTTCAACTACATTCAAAAAATATTTGTAAGTCTCTTTTGTTGGTATGGAAGAATGGTGTGAATCGGTATACATTTGGTTGATAATTTGAATGGCACTTTGTAAATCAGATGTCTTTGTGCATGATTTTAAAAGAATGTGATAGATTTCTAAAGTTGGAGCAATGTTTTGATTCTTTAAGTTTATAAACTCTCGTATAACTGATGAGAGATCGTTTGACTCAAGATGACCTTGCATACGACGAAGATACGTTGCTTGTTGTTCTGCTAGATTCATTGATAGTGGATCAAGTGGAACTTGTGGTACGGGAGATAAAGATCCTTGATGTCCATTTGCAAAAGTACGGACTAGTCCATATAATCATTAAAATTACAAACGCGTTCAACTTTCAATTAAAATGAATGACAAAAAATTTTTTTTTCAATAATTCACCATACCTATATCTTTATGTAATTTAAAATTTTTACTATTATTCCTCGCAAAGGAAAAGCCAATCGGATTTTTGTTATGTAGGAAATGAGGAATTGTATGAAACAATATTAAGATTAGCGTCAAGAGACAAATTTGAATCCGAATATGCTATAAATGTT